TATAAATATAGATTTATATTAAATTGATAATATAAATTAAAATGTGGAAAAAACAAATTAAGTAAATAATTTATAAAAAAAAACGTTAAAATTAGTGGCGCTATGGCCTATAGCGACACAGTGGTGCTATAGGCCATAGCGACACTGGGGTGGTTGAAAAAATTAATTCACAAGCTTTTGTTTTAGTTTCACATCCTTGAATCGAGTATTAAAATTACTTGCAATGTGCCTAATGCAGTACTTGTGATATGCATTTGGCGGTCTCCAACCAATTGCCTCATTGTCAATGGCCGATTTAATGCTACGATGTCGATCAGATATTAAACATATGCCTTCTTTATTTGTAACATGTAACCACAAATGAGACAAGAACCACGATCACGCAAATAATGTTTCTCCTTCAACCACAACAAATGCAAGAGGAAGAACGTTGTTATTACCATCTTGTGTTGTAGCAATGAGAAATGTACCTCGGTATTTGCCATATAGATGAGTGCCATCAACTTGTATCAAAGGTTTACAAGAATTAAAGGCATCACAACACGACTTGAATGTCCAAAATAATCTGTGAAATTGACGGTAACCACGATTACAACGATTACCAACAAAAAATCCATCATGACACAGATCATAAAATGACCCTGGAGCAATTTCTTTCATGTATTGGAGCCATCGAGGTAAATAAGCATACGATTCTTCCTAATCTCCAAAAATGTTAACAATTGCTTTTTGTTTCGCCATCCAAGTCTTTCTATAAGATATTTTAAACCCAGTTTGAGATGTTATTCTCTCTTGGATAAGGCTATGATTGATGGATCTTGGTTAACCATTCCTACATATTAAATATTAGTAATCAGTAAGATAAATTATTATTAATATAAACTAAAACTTTGCAGAACTTACCTTGTATAAATGATGCAATTAACTCAGAATCTAACTTAGCATGATCTTGTGACAAATACATGTTCAAACACGTACGACGTCCACCCCATTGAGTCACTTTCCATTTATCAGATTTCTTTGACTCAATGGCTCTGATGTACCATCCACATCCATCATGTGCATTTGGACATCTAACAACCCACTTGGTCTCTTTTGACTCAACCACATAAAAACTTTGATGCATTCTCATTGCATTTTGCTTTACTACATTTTTAATCGCATCTTTATTCTCAAACTCCAACCCCACATATAAATCTTGACCAATTGACCAAGTATTACGCAGATCCATCCCTGGGATATCTTCTTCATCTGGATGATTCCAATTGATGTTAATGTAGTGGGGTAATATTACCCCAAAATTGACTTCCACCTATTTTAATAATAATGAATTTAGTAATTTCAATAAAATCAATTTCAACAATTTATTTTAAACAAATAACAAATTATTGACAAATTTAATTTTCAGATGTTACCTTCAATAGATGGATAAATTAAAATTGGTTCAACCATTGGACTATTAACAATAACATCCGGCTCCACCTCATTATCAGATGGTTCACAATCATCAATTTCATCTTCATTGGATTCATCAATGCTTTCATATGATAATGAAACATGATAGTCTTCATCTGCTTCGTCATCTTCATCTTCGTCTCTTGTGATCAAAGGTGATCGTTCAATTGACAAATTTTCTAATGAAAAAGTTGAAGATTCTTGCATACCTATTTCAGCATATAATTTCGTTATTGGCATCACATTCTGGCTCTGGAATGTTTCTATCATGCATTGTACATCATCATTGTCACTCAATTCCAATGAAGAATATATGTTGTTATCATCTTGTGAAACTAAAAATCTGTAACTTACAGATAATATCACTTGATTTGACTTAAGACCAAATTTGTTGTGAATCCTTCTCTTTAATATATCCAAAGTTATACCTCGTTTAATATACATTCCTTTTCTTGGTCCATCAAATGTTACACCTTGAGAACCTTCATACATCTTTCCAGTGTAAATATAAACAATAATTTGATCCATAATATCTGCAAAAAAAATAAAATTAATTAGTATAAATAGCTACAATTTATATTTTAACAACAAAAAAATTATACTCACAAATTTCAATCAGAAAGAAACGTAACTGGTAGCAGGGGTATATATATGATTTTGATGATTTCAAATGTGAACAAAACATAACTGTCGTGAGGGGTATATATACTGTAATAGGCACTATGGGCCATAACGACACAGTGTCGCTATGGCCCATAGCGATTTTTTTTTTTAATTTTCTAATATAAACTTTATAATTATTTCTGTATGCTTCAAAACATGAAAATTTATTAAATATGAAACGCTAAAAAAAATTAATGAAATATATATTATAATTAATTTATATAATATAACTAAATAATTTTTCTAAAAAAAATAAATAATTAATTAATGTCGCTATAACCTATAGCGACATTGTGTCGTTATAGGCCATAGCGCCACTTTCTTAACTATTTAATACATAAAAATAAAATAAATTAACTGAACTATAAATATATAAAATAAAATTTATATTAAACAAATATATAAATAAACAAATTTCTGAAAAATAAATTAAAATGTAAATATTTATAATAAAAAAAATAAAAAAAAATGGTGTCGCTGCCAAGAGCGACACCAATTTTTAATTTTTTTTAATTACATTTTTTTCGCCCTATTTTTTTAAATTAAATTATAAAAATATTATTAATACACTTAAACAATAAATTTTTTAAAAAATTAACATATTTATGAAATAATTTTATTTAAATTATTTACTTTGTGTACTTTTAATTAAAATATAAAAACGAAAAATTAAAAATAAAA